AGTTTGTTTTGCTCTGCGCTCGAGGCCCCGCGCCAGGCGTGGGCGGGAGCGTCAGCGCGGGTCTCGGCTGTTTGTCCGGTTGTTGTGAGTTCCCTTCACGGGAGCGCGTGGCCGGGGCCCGGCCCGTTCTGTGCCAGGAGCCCCGGCTGGGCCACGGGAAGCCTCCGCCCTTTTTCTTTCTCTCTCTCTCTCTCTCTCTTTCTTTCTTCTTTCTTTCTCTCTTTCTTTCCTTTCTTTCCTTCCTTCCTTCCATATATTTTTATTGATTTCAGAGAGGAAGGGAGAGGGAGAGGGAGAGAGAGATCAATGACGAGAGAGAATCATCCATCGGCCGCCTCCTGCACGACCCACACTGGGGATCCAGCCCGCAACCCAGAACCCTGACCTCCTGGCTCCTAGGTCCATGCTCAGCCACTGAGCCACGCTGGCCAGGCCTCCACCCCCCGTTTTCAAATGGGGAAACCGAGGTTCGGGGAGAACAGGGGCGGCCGCTTAGGACTAAGGCGCCGGCTGGCCGGCTGGTTCTGCAGGAAGGAGACTCCACCTGGAGCTCCAGTCTCCCTGCCTTTCCCAGGAGGAGGGACAGGAGAGTCCTTCCCTGGGCGAGGTGGGCAACTGCACCTCCAGAGAGGAGAGGGCTGGGGCCGGACAGAGTGCGAGGCTGCAGGGGCACCCAGACCCCAGCACCCAGGCACCCAGACCCTAGGCACCCAGACCCCAGCACCCAAACCTCCAGGCACTCAGACCCTAAGCACCCAGACCCTAGGCACCCAGACCCCCAGGCACCCAAACCCCCAGGCACCCAGACCCCAGGCACCCAGAGACCGGGGCACCCATACCCCGGGCCCCTGGGACTTTCTGACTCAGACCAAATGTGTATCGGGAACCAAATACCAAGGGCTTCTCTTTAGTTAAAATTCCTCTTTCTTGGATCTTCTCCTGGGTTGCAAGACAAATGTCCCAGTCCCTTCAAGGACCGTGAGGCGGCCCCCCTGTGCCCAGGAGCTGCAGGTTTTCTGGGGAGCCCGGTCCCCAAACCGAGGCAGCCCTGTATGTACGGAGGGAGAACAGTCTCGAGATTAGTAAACACGCAAGTTAAGTACAATTTCCAAGTGAAGTAAAAATGGGAAGGTACATGCCTAACCGGTGTGGCTCAGTGGTGAGCGTCTACCTATGAACCAGGAGGTCAGGGTTCGATTCCCGGTCAGGGCACAGGCCCAGGTGGCGGGCTCCATCCCTAGTCAGGGGCGTGCAGGAGGCGGCTGATCCATGATTCTCTCTCATCATTGATGTTTCTCTCTCTCTCCCTCTCCCTTCCTCTCTGAAATCAATAAAAATATTTTTTTTAATGAGAAGGTACAGGATATGCCCTTGTTTGTGTTCAGTGCCCTGTATGAATAGCCCGTCCCTGTCCCTCTGGCGGGATTGAAACTCTTGAGAAGAACGGGTAAGAAACCAGTATCTGTGCCTCCTGGGGGGGGCGGGCAGTCAGGGGACGGAGGGAGAGACCTGTCCCCGCGCGCGTCCCGGGCCTCCTGGCTCACGTCACCGAGACTCCTCGTTCTGTGCACTCAGGTCCTCACACTGACCGACAGGAACAACACGTAAAATTAATGTGCTGAGTCCTCTCAGCTGTGGGGCTCCAGCTGTGGGCACCCCCACAGGCGCAGCCTCTCCCAGCAGCAAGCAAAACAAGGCCACAGAGGGAGGGCCCGGGGTGCAGTGGGGCAGACAGCAGTGAGGGGGTGCAGTGGGGGGCAGACATCAGTGCCTGGAGTGCAGTGGGGGGCAGACAGCAGTGCAGGGGGTGCGTGGGGGGCAGACAGCAGTGCAGGGGGTACAGCAGGGGCAGACAGCAGTGCCCGGGGTGCAGTGGGGGGCAGACAGCCATGGGGAAGGCAGGAGACTGGGAAGAGGGTGCTGTGTTTAGGGAATGACCAGGGGTCCTCCCTCTGGGGAGGATCTAGGGGCAGAAAAACAGCGAACCCAGACTTTCCACGGGAAGGGGACGTGACAAACGCCGGGAGGAAGGAGAGCACAGCCCGGCTGCGGGAGGCAGTGGATGGTCCCCGAGCCGGTGGGAGGCCGGGCACAGCTGCAGGGAGACAGGGAAGGCCCAGGACGGAGCCTCCTGCACAG